CGCATTTACACGATGGGAGTTTCTAGGCTCCGCTAGCCGCGAGTATTCGCTCCTGGCGCTCACTTGTAAGGAGTTCGCACCGTGTAAACGCTTCTTTATGTCTAGTACAGAAGGGGGTGTGCACACACATACTCGTACACACACACTGGTGGAGTTGGATAGCCTTTTGAGCAATGATGCCAATATCCCGAATATTTTGAACCTCCAGTCAGACTGTATAACCAGAGCGGGAAACCGGGGACATAATTTCGAAGTACAGCGCATAATCAGCAATGGAAATACTCTTTTCTAGTGTTAAAGTAGGTCTGCACCAAAAACCTGGTACCATGCTGTCTGACATTTTATCTGGGTCACAGGTATAGTACTTGTACTCGAAGTCTGATCCATATCTGAACAACAGGTGTATGCCAAAGTCTGGTACAATATTGTCTCATAAAATCAGGCAAAATCACCAAAAGTCTGATACATACTTTCTTGACATATTCAGGCAACAGGTAGGGATCCATTGTCTGATATCCTGCTAAGTGATATTATACCGTAACTGATGCTTTCGCACCCAGTGGTTCTCAACCTTTTTCATTTTGGGCTGCCCGGACAAAATATGATAACCTCCGTGGCCCCCAGCTACATTTTCTTCGACGAAGCAAACAAATCAACGTCGCTCAAATGAGTAATGTCTCGTCCAGCCTCCCACTTTCTCAATAACTGTATGCAATCTATGTGGAAAAGAAGACACAAGGTCATGAATAAACTCCGGCTTACGACTGCAGATTTACCACTGGGCGTGGACATGGTCCAGGAGTTGGTGGCTGGTCCTCTCGTTTGCTGTTCACCATTTGTGCCCAAACGCGTTCAATGTTATTCATGTCCGCTCCTTTGCTGGGCCATTCCAAGAGCTGAAGGGTGTCTTGTTTTTGACTCCAGTGACGAACGACACGGGCAGTGTGGATCGGATACCTGTCGTGAATAAAGAGGACAGGCCCAGCTGGGAAAGGAAAATTCCTTGCCCGTAGAGATTGCAAGAAGCGTTCCTCCAGCAGTTGGATATATCTGGCCGCAGTAAAGCGACCCTCAATGCTGAACATGTCACCAAGGTCATGTAATGTCACCCAGCCCCAGATATTACAGGTAATGTGACCTGAACGGGCATCCTCATGATGTTAGGGCGATCATATCTGTGTGCGAAAATTAGTATCATTTTAATGTTTTTGCTGGGGTTATTCAAGGTTTCTTATATTATGGCTTATTAACCCTCTCCTATATTATTCACATTTGATTTTCCACCTTATGTATGATTAACGGCAGCAGTAAGACGAAAACGATTAATGGTAACAATCGCCTTATGTATGACTTAGTGCAACAGCACGACGAAAACGATTAATGGCAACAGTTGCCGTATGTATGATTAACGGCAGCAGTACGATGAAAACGATTAATGGTAACAATCGCCTTATGTGTGATTAACGGCAGCAGTGGGGCGAAAACGAGAAATGGCAGCAATCGCCTTATGTGTGATTAACGGCAGCAGTGGGGCGAAAACGAGAAATGGCAGCAATGGCCTTATGTGTGATTAACGGCAGCAGTGGGGCGAAAACGAAAAATGGCAGCAATCGCCTTACGTCTGATGATATCAGGCCATTATGACTGACTCATGTTCTTGTGTAGGTTATTAGTTGCAATCTTTGATCTTTGTTCAGTATAGTAAATTAAGAACTAATATTTTCTAGGGGTTAATAACATTTGTGGGGTTTTCGAGACTACTATTCTATGTTATGAATATGTGTGCTGGGGCGCTGCTGAGTAAGAATATGTCGGGTTGTGTTTTAATGGGAGTGTCAGTGGGCTAAAACTCAGGGAAGCGCCACCCTTGACCTCAGCAACTCCTGAGCTGGTGAGCTCACATTTGGACCAGGTTCATATTTTTCTATGCTGGTGATAGGAGTGTCTAGTGATGAAAGATGTGTTGAGAAATTAATCCAAATGAATTATTGTGCTCTTAATAGTGGTGTCTAGCGATGCAAGATATGTTGAGGGGTTAATCCAATTGAATTGTTGTCTCTTACACAATTAATATCTTTTTTGGTGCTGTTAAGGATGGTGCTATTGAATACAAGTGTCATATGCGTCTGTTTAACCCCAATCTCGGGAACACCAGTCCAGGCCACGGTAAATACTTTATTAATTTTGTTTGTGCTGGTTTGGTGTTCTGAGGGGCCCTTCCACTGCATTACCATCCATTTAAATAATCCCCAATAGGAATTCCGACCGGTTACAAATGGTAGTAGAGCGTAGTTTTATTGTGACTGGTAGTTCTGTGGTTGGGAGAATGAACGCAATTATGGTTTGGCTAGAAATGGTAGGGATTGAAATCTCAAGTCTACTCATGATTGCAACAGGAATGGGCTTTTTGTGTTTGACAGTAGGGATGTATCTGGGGAGAAAGAGTGACAGAGAAGAGATCATGCAGCTGGGGGTACAGGTGCAACAGATGGGAGAGGATTTCGTGGACCAAAGGGGGGAGTATCAGGCACGGGTGAACAAATTCAGGGGGGAGTATCAGGCATATATTCAAAAGTTAAGAGAGGAAACAAGGGGGGAGTATCAGACACATTTGCAGCGGTTAAGGGAGGAATTAAGAGAGGAGTATCAGGCCTAAGTGGAAAAGTTAGAGGGGGGGGGACAACGATAACACCTAGCTTAGTTGGGAGATGCACTAGACAGGATAGAAACATGGTATCAAACACAGCTTGAAGAGACAATGGGTGAAATTCGGAAACACAATACTAGAACTGGAGTTAGTTGCGGGGCCGGGTTGACCATTTCTAATTTCGACGGTAAGACAGGCCGGAGGTAGTTAAGTGGTTTAAGAAAGGTCGACCGAGCCCTCAAGCTGATAGACGAAGACGGCCGAATACATTTCATAGTACGGAATCTTTTCTTTTCATGAGTGGCAACATTACACTAGACTACTAGATAAATCCAGACTGACAGTGATCACACTTTGACTCACATTACTTAACCTTACTAAAATAATGGAATCCTTAGAGAATGGCACACTCCACCTGGTGAGAGCCAGATCATTTCAGTAAAATCGCCATACAAGTTTACATTGATTCGGCATGTTAAGGCAGGTACACAAACTACAGATAGTGTAAGCATGCAAACACTGGTAAACAGTAAGGCAATTAGTCGAAACGGGAAAATGATCGTAAATTCAAGAAACAGATAGGAGCACAAAAGGAAATTTGTAATACCATTAAAGTCTACAACTCAGATAAAAAATTGTGAACTATATGTAAGGTCTCAAAAAGTCGGTGTGTGAATATACATTATTAGGCCAAGCGTGAAAGTATACGAAGAACAAGAGAAAATAAATAAAAGATGGGAGAAGTAATGACGATATATACTGTACAAAACCGCAAAACCCAGGTAGGAATAGACACTGTTAATAATATTTCCTTGCAATCAGGGGCAGATCCAGTGGGGTGCTGGGGTTCCGGACCCCTTCCTGCTTTCCATAAAAAAAATCCAATACTTCTTTAATGTAGTATTGTAGTTAGATGTTTTTGTATAGTAAAAAGTAACTACTATTGACTTCAGAATATCTCTTAATATCAAGTGCACATGGCCTTAAAATGGCACCAAAATATCCATGTATCGGTCAGGGTTAAAAAAATTGACAAGGGTGGGGGGGATCACAGACCCCCCCACCCCCCCTCCCCACAAAAACCCAGCTGGGGGGGGCTCGCACTGGTCGCCAGGTTCCCCCACCCACAACTTCTTGGACCCCCTTTGGATATTCCTGGATCCCCGTAAAAAAAAATCACAACACCTTGTAACTGCCATCTACCGCCGCCACAGTCAACCTCTTTCATAAACAATAACAATGGTGTCTCAACTGATGCCACCAGGTATAACACTTAGTGCCGAGAACAACCAACAACTACAAGGGAGTCTGACGAAACATGCAAGACAAGAAGACAAATTGTTAACGTTCCTCCATGAGTTAAATAAGGCAAGATTTTTTTTTTAATACTTGGACTTTTAGTAGGTTGAGGAAAGTTAGGCCAGGTTCTCAAAGTTTTGATTGGTGTTTTTCTAAGTGTTTTAACCCCACATATTCCCTAATATTCCAAGATCAGCCCACTATCTAGAAATCATTGCCACATCTCCATAAATGGGTAAAATTGCAGTTTCACTCATATTTGTGAGTAAAGGTGTAGAATAGTGCTAACACCAGAAGTTGTTTGCTGATTTGGTTAAAACAAAAATTACACACTAATAGCATGATATTAAACACAAGGATGGAAACGACAATACATAAAACCTGACCTAACATACCCATAGGTTGGGTCTGTGGATACCTCTAACACTCACAACGTCATGAAGTCTACAAATAAGCCTTCAGTGTGTCATTATTCTTCAACATTCACAATATTGTTCAGTACTGTACTCTTCAAACTAATGTGAAGACAAGTAAAGTCATCCCTTCCACCATCATGCACACAACCACAGAGCTGGTTACCTGATTGCCTAGTTTCTCTTCATTTGCTATCATAAACACTAATAATACTCTATGGGAAATAAAAGTATTGTAATGTATATTTTTAGATTTCATATTTAGGATGTTCAACTCTTCTGTAAAGTACATTAGGTTGTTTTGTAAAGTCAATTTTTAGTTGTCAGATATAGGTACATACTCTGCTGTACAGTACTTCACAATTTCTTTTTCTGCTTTATTTTTGAAGTTTGATGGTATTAATGAAGATAAACTTTTACTTTTTCCTCTTCACCACTGATTGGTTCGGCTGATTGGCAAGTACTGGGCATGCACTAGCTCCTGAATGTATCTGAACCTGCTCCAGTGCTTGTCAAGTCCGGCCTTGAAAGAGCTCACACTCGGTGCCGTCACAACACACTCTGGCAGATTGTTCCAAGAGTTCACAACTGTCACTCCGAAAAAGTTACCCCTCACAGTTTTCTGGACTTGCGGCTTCTTCAACCTTGAGCTGTGATCCCTTGTGGGGCGAGCGTCCGCCAGCTCCAGGTAAGGACACTCGACTGAGTAGTGCCCTTTGAGATGTTTATACACCTCAATTAGGTCCCCCCCTTGCCTGTATGTAGTATAAGCTAGGCAATTGCAGGCGCACTAATCTCTCAGGATAGCTGAGGTGCCAAAGTGCAGGCACCAGTCTGGTGGCCCTCCTTTGGACATTTTCAATCAACTGACAGTCCCTAGCATATCTTGGGGACCATACAGGGTGACAGTACTCCAAACGGGGAAGCACCTCACTCTTGAAGATCGTAATGAGGGACAGACCGTCTAGATATCTGAACGACCTTCTTTTAATACCTAATAATTTAGTTGCTTGATTCACCTTCTCGCAATGGCCTGAGAACTTCAGCTCATTGTCAACATACATGCCTAAGTCCTTTTCACATTCAGTCTCAATTAATGCAGTTTCTTCATCCTGTTGGGACATGTGATATGCCTCCTTACCATTGATACTTCCCAGGTGCAGCCTCTTACACTTTGTGACATTGAATCTTAGCAGCCATTTCTTCGACCATTCTTGAAGTTCACAGAGATCCTTCTGCAGCTCTTCACATTCTGCTTGGTTCTTAATTTCCCGAAATAACTTGGCGTCATTCACAAACATTTGTATGAAGGAATGTATAGCATCAGGCATGTCATTTACGAAGCAAACAAATAACAGTGGGCCCAATACACTGCCCTGTGGTACCCCGTTTGTGACAGGTACACATGATGATTTTGTGCCATTAATCACCAAACACTGCTTGCGGTCATGGAGAAAGTCTCCAATCCACACTAGGACATTTCCCCGAATCCCGTACCCTTCCAGTTTTCTTCCCCAAAATGCCTTTACCCAGAAAGAAGTTTTAACAGATGTCCTGGACAAGACTGAGGGGTGGGTAATAGAGCAAAGGATTTGTACTATATTTGCTTAACATTATGCTGTAAATTATGCCCAAGTTATAATTCCTCTCTTAATTGTTTGTTGCAGTTTCCCACCCAGGAGGATGCCCAATTTCACCAGATCCTGCAGGAAAGCCTTAAGTTTTTGGGACTTCAGAGAATGACCATAAGTACTACAGGTGCAGGTACTTCCTAGTGGATCACAAGACAAGTAAGTAGAAACCCATTCATATTTGGTTAGGGATTATTGTTATTTACTTATGCATTATTTATTACCAATATGTACCAAATTAAGTTAGTCTGTAAATTTTACCTTTATTAATATACATTCAGTGAGCATAAGGCAAGTGGACACTGATTGATATTCAGGATATCTTTTTACAAAATTTTTTGTATTCAAGGATGCATCTCAGAAGATTTTCAATAAATATAAAATGTATTAATATAATTTTTTTTTAACAGACCAGATTTACAACTTGCAGTCATATGTTCATGACTATTAGTTTTTCAGGATGGATCAGCATACACAGCTACTCATGGAGTCAATGGTGCAAGTGATGCTTTACAGAGACAAGCATTTACCCTTAAGTTATTCAAGATTGACAAAATGCTCATGAGCTGGTCAATCTTGATGTGACCTAATTAGGTAAGTACTGTAAATGGCATTGATGGTTGCTCTCCTGCACTTTTCAATATCGTCACCCTTTTTACCAGTTTACCCCTAAATTTAAACATACAATAGTGCAATGTCTTTGGTCTAAAGTAATATAATCCAAATTATTGGCTCCAACAGAACAGCCTGCATTTAGAAATTATGATACCCATAGGATGAATAATTTACTGGGCCTGTGAACATAAATTTTGTAGTTTGTAAAGCTCTAGAAAGCACTACATGTGATGCCATGATTCATCATTTACAACAATAATCTTGCTGAGGGTATTTATGGCTACAGGTATTCACTAATTAAGAATGGTTTGGTTTATGAAAATCCAAAGTTAAAAAAAATGTTCCATGATTTGATTTCAGAATGAAAAAACTGAATTTACCTCCAAAATTCATCTTTGTAATTTTTTTTTCTAAGTATAGTACTGTAATAATGAGACTATGTTAAAACAATGCAATATTAGTTAGTCTCCAAAAAAAACTTTCAATGTGTCATCATTCTACCACAATCAACGGGAGACAAGTACACTTATCTCCACCAGCACAGTCACTCAGCCAATTACCTGATTGTCCAATTTCTCCTCAATTATGTACCCATATGCAATACATTATATGTGGAAAATTAAATAAAAGAAAATCATTCTGTATTTTTTAATTTTATATGCTAAATAGTGTGTACCGTACAATAAAAGTGTAGACTTGTAAGAGAATTGTAGAATATAGAACGGAACCAAAGTTTAGAGGTGTGGATATTGCCAGCATTACAGACTGACAGCATCATTTGTGCCATGTAAACAAAACTGCTGGAATTTTGGCTGATGCAATAACCCATCAGGAGTTGAGTTTGTGTTTTTTTTTGTAGGGAAACGTACAATTACCAACAATTATATAATGGAACCTAGTACAATATACTGTAGTACTAGGTATGGGGTCATCAATATAAGTGATAATTATTTATTTCTAAGCAACATTAGAATACAGTACTGTAATGATTTTTCCACAACTTTTAGTTTCATTATATGTAACAATGTCAACATGACATCTCACAGGCCACCTCAATCCCAGTTTTTCCCCCTCCCAGTGAGTCAAGCTATTGCTAAACCGAATTTTAACCTAATATTAAGTGAGAAAGGGTATCAAATTTTTTTTTAGTGCTAAACCAAATTAATGCTAAGTGAATTAACACTAAATGAGGGATACCTGTATTGTATAGTATGCCATAAAAACCTAAATATTGTACTGTACATTGTTGTAAAATGTAGAATCTAGTACTGCTCAGTTGATACATGTTTGGACCACATCTTTGCCTCAATCACCACTGATGATGATGATGATGATGATGGTATGTACAAGAGTCTGGCACTCTCCAATGGAACATTAAGTGTCAGTTGAGAATTTTTCTATATGGGATGAAAACAGATTTAATGGATTGTAGTTTTTTGTGGTTATGTATATTGTCCATTGTTTGGTATTCAAACCTGTGACCCCCACCAACTATTTTTCCACTTCACATTTTAGCATCAGCTAATGGAACTAAACTTGATTTTCCATCATATATTTGCAATAAAACCCTTGTTGGCCCAATATATTTAGTGTAAAAATCCTAATGGTATGCCTTAGGCCCAAAAGTCAGTGTCATGCCAACTTTGAACCTCTGGGTTGACTCTTAGAATGGCCCTTAAAAATGTACAGATGGAATATGCTGGAATTTTAAGATGTAATATTCCTGACAATTATTCAATAACCATGAGGAACATATGTATTGTACAGTCAAACCATAAATTACTTTTACTCCTGGGTGTGATGGATTTTAAAATGAACACTACTGTACAGTACCTCTTGTATCATCTCGATAGGGTTGGCAAACTTGATTGTGACTTCATTTTCCTTATTCTTGTTTTTTAAACATTTTAATCTCATTAGGAAACATATAAAGAGTTCAACTCCAAATACGGTAAATTCCACTTTTTAAGTTGGAAAAATATATACACCTGTATGTATATTTTAAAAGCAGTGCTATGATGTAAGAGATGGAAACAACTTGAAAATCCGGCTGGATGAAACTTGACCGGAGACCTGGTGGCATTTATGTTTTGTAGGCTAAACAATGTGATTGAGGCTGGAGGTGCTTATACAGTATAAAGTACCTGTATTAATTAAATACAGTTGATATCTGAATATTGTCTTCCTATTAAAGAATTTTTTTAAATCTTTCACAAATAAATATAAATTACACTATTGTTTATTTCTTTGATTTTACATTTTTAAACAGACCAAAATTAAGTCTTGGAAAACTGCCAGTCAACTAAAGCAGCACAAGATTGTTATTAGCTGAAATGTCATTTAGACAATTTTCATTTCATATAATAATCACACCAATCTTTAATGCTATTTATTTAATCATTCACCAAGAATTTTATATTTGTTGTTTAATGATGTGACTACTGCAAGTCAAAATAGAAAAAAATAACAGTGCTGATATACTCTGATAATAAACACGTGCAGTGCACCCTCGTTTTTCGTGGATTTTTTATTTGCAGTTTTGACTATTTGCAGATTTTCAACAAAAATATATTTTCATTGCAACAGGTATTACTGATTTCATATGTGGTTGAATTGCACATGCGAACGAATTTCCACAAGAAACTACCTGATGTCACTTAAGCAGAGCGCAGTTTCCTGCCTCTCCTCTGTCTTACTCGTGTCCTCCACCAAACTGTGTATACTTCTCGCTGTGACCCGTAAGTTTTGTGCTTGTAAAATCCCATCATAGCACCAAAACGTTCTTCTAAAGGTGGTGACAAGGGTGGTAATTCACCAAAGAAGTGGAAGAGACATAGAAAAGTGTTGAATTTAGTCAAGAAAGTAGAAATAATAAAGAAACTTTCAGAGTGGCATGAGCTATGCGGGATGTTTTAGGGCATATAGAATGATCAAGTCAACAGTTCCCTACAGATTAATCATCATCCATCATCATCATTCATGTTGATTTTGGCCCTCCAACTACAAACACAAGTTTTTCTATCTCATCATGCAATTTTTCTCTTTTCTTAATTATGATGGTCGATTGCATACACACATATGCTACATAATTCTTTCCTTGTACTGTACTTTAAAATCATACTACCAATCGAATGATTCAGCCACATTTGTCATCTTATCACCCCTTTCCACTTGCTTTAATATTGCCAATTTTGTTTCTATTATGACCGTGCGTCTTTTTTTACTCTCACTCTTATCACTGGCACCAATCACTGGCACTACCTTTATGCTTTTCAGACATATTGGGGTCAATAATGTTTGTAAAAAGCACAAGAAATTAACTATCACCACCGTAATGCTGCTATTGAGACGACAATAACTAAAATGGCTGCCACTTGGCTGGGAAAGCTTGGAGTTGAGCACTAACGGCATCTATTGAACATACGTACAGGTAGTTCTGCTATAACGCGATAATTGTGTTCTTGTAAAATATCGTGTTATAGAAAATCGCGTAATAGAAATAACAGGGCTTATGGAGAAAATAGGGTTAGGTGCAGATTACTCGAAATCGAAAAAATTTAGTAGTTAGCCTAACACAAAGGATAGCACAGTCTAAATAAATGTTACATTCATATCTAATAATGAAATCATACAGTAAATTTAACACTTTACCTTGAAAAAATATGAATGTAACTTGATGGGGGAGAAGGGTGATTTTGAGGTTGATAACATCAAGCTTCTCTTCAAGTGTTATATCCTTTCTTTTACGATAATCACCGGGAATTCTATCATCAGAATGCTTTTTGGAGATATTCTTCTTTACCATATTCACAGTCAATACCACAAAATTGGAGAAATAGTAAGCAAAAATCGCGTTATAGCAAACAAGCGATCGCGTTATACAAATATTGTTCCGAATTCATAAATCGCGTTAGAGCAAATTCGCGTTATCAAAACACGCGTTATAGCAGAACTCACTGGTAGAACTAATGACTCTTGCGCTTTCGCACCGAACGGAAATTTGGACATATGGACAGGTTTGTTTGTATATATGGAAGTTTTTAAATTGAAAGTTTGTTAGTAGAGGAGATAAAGTTCTGTAATGTGAAGACATACACACTAGAGGAATTGCTTGCTGAAGCGAAGGTAAAATGGGATTTACTTCTGGTGGAGGGGTTAGGAAAACCTGTGAATCTGTCTGGTATATCATACCATAAGGTTTCTTGGTTATTGGAAGTTAATAGGTTTTGGGATACTGTGCATCTGATTCATTGTATCATGACTCGGAAGGTGGCGGAGAAGCCAGCTAGTATGGCAAGGCTGGAGTTAAATACATTATGTTAAATACAAATACCCCCCTGTACAGGTATCCCCAATTACGATCTCCCTATTTACGATATTTTGCTTGAACGATGGTGATGTATTAAGACCACCTCCCTATTTACAATCAAAGAAATTCTCGTGAACGATGGTCATTGCCCGGCCAAAATTGCCGACACATGGAATATGGAATGCATCTCTCACTGCACTTGTCACCGTAGCATCATCTACCCATGCGGTGCTATGTGGCCACCTGGAGCACGACAGACCCATACTTTGTTACAAGGTGATCACATCTGCCTGTGGTCGTTTAGCTCAATGATTATCGGTCAGTATTAGTGTTGTTACTATCATCATTTGTTTTTTGTTTTAACTTACAGTGAGAGGACATTAATAACCGTCACATTGTACTGAACTCGGTTTTTTGTGAACAGTGTCAGCTGCTATTATTTAAGATGAGTGGAAAAAGGCCATCAAGTGAAAGTGGTACAGGTTGGGTATCCCTTATCCAAAATTCCCAAGTCTGAAATGCTCTGAAATCCAAGTTTATTTCATTATATTTATGGTAGATAATACACTGAATACGGCATATATCATAATTTTTACTAGGGTAAGTATGTACAGTATGTGTAATGAATAAAGGTAACACAGACTGCTTAGCACCTCAGTCAGGTGTCATGGTGATGCCAAACAGACAGTAGTGATTGCTTACCTTTCTGGGTCTTTAGTGTACATCTTATCATATATTTGATACCCAAAATGATTAAATTATATTTCATAAAACTACCTACAGAGTACAAGACATATATCCATATGCTGTAAATGAAATATAAATAAATTTTGTGCATAGACTTGGGCCCTATCCCTGCTGGGTGAGCTACTGCATTATACAGGATATGTATACAGGATATAGGTATTCCAAAATCTGAAAATATCCCAAATCCGAGACTCTTAAGGCCCCAAGCATTTCGGATAAAGGATACCCAACCTGTAGTACTAAAAGAGCCCGTAAAGGAATTATGTTGGATATAAAATTTGATGTTTTACCGAGGTTTGATGCAGGAGAAAAACTTAGTCAGATTGCGAAAACATTAGGGCTTGCTACATCTCCCAGTAAATCACATTGCCTCACCTCGCCTCACTCAGCACTCAACATTGTTTGTGGCGAGTTAAATTCAAGTGTTTTTGTCAAAAAAAGTTTCTTTAGGAATGCATCTCCAATTACAGTATATAATGGAAGCCAATGGGAAAATGGGGTTCACATGACAGAATTTCACATTACAGTCAACTTTTCAAGGATGCAACCCTAGTAAATTTTGTTGTTGTACGTACTCTAATGAGTAACACTTTCCATAAATGTATTATGACAACATTATATGTGAAATTTCAAGGTGGGTCAGTGATTAAAAGAATTTACAAGAAATTGACAATGTTGGGGTTAGGGTTAGGTCAGTTGTTTGTGGAGGCATTACCACAGGACATATAAGGGATTCCCACTTTCTTGGTATGTTTTCTATTGTCACATGTGTACAGATTCACCAGTTAGCTGTGGAGCAGTTCTAAAACTCCACAGGGGTCTTTGACATGTTATGTTATCTTGTAATGTTTCTTATTTTCTTTTACTTTGCCAATTTACTAACAGGTCTGGTGATCAATCAGTTTTGATAATCACTGTTTGGAAGTGTTAGACAAGCTGGGTTTATTTTCTCTTGAGTCTTCATTGACAATTTTCCTTTTTTGTCTTACTTAACATTTCCTTTGTACCCAGGAGCGGATTAACCCAACCACGGGCCTGCGGCTGAGGTACATATGGGACCCGTCGAAGCTAACACAAAAATAATGATGCTCACATTATTTGTCTAAACGTGTAATAAAGTAAAATTTAAAAGATTCCTTTATATTTGTAGATGGTAATAGAACTTTATAAAAGTTTGTTTTATAACATGGAATTTTGATGTTTTAATAACCAAAAATATAATTGTTTTGAACACTATGGAGCAATTAAGGACATACTGTATTTGTAACCTGAACAATGCATTTCTCTCTTTCTTTCAGGTTTTGCCAACTTGACTTGTGATAATACGGCATTCTTATCCAGTGCCACCACAAAATTCATGGTCAATTTCAAACTCACTTGCGCTACAAATTCAGTTGCAGCCTGCAGCACCAAGCAACCTACACGACCGACTCCAAATGACTGACTCGGTCATTCAAAAGAACTAATTTGCTTGTTGCACTGTAGCACCATATGGCATTTGCATCAGATAATGATTGCGGTTGTCTTGTCAGTGGTTGAGCAAATGCAACTTTACACGCATGCCAGCTTATAAAAATCATGGGCCTGGGGCTTCAGCTTCACCAGCTTGTTGAATAATTCACCCGTTTGTACCCAGTTTTCCTCTTTTCTCAGTCTTGTGTTTGTGTCATTCTAGATATTACTTTTTTATATTTTACTCCTTGTGTAATGTGTCTCCTCTCTTTTCTCTCACTGGAAGATGGTCTCATTAACATGCAGGATTCAAGTCAAATATTTCTTTTGGTGTTGGATTTTAGCACTTGAAAATGTGGGGGTGACTGGTGGTCAATTTGCAAAGAAATTTTTCGATTTATCATGCCAGTTTTAATCCAAAAGACTGACTATACCACATCCAAAGAAGAGTTATACTTCTTGAAGATTGAACCTGATCTGATTGTCACATAGATACTGTACAGGAGGAAAATTCTTCTTCCTCATAATTGCTATTTTCAGTGGTTTTCAGTTATTGCAGATGAATTAATTTTTTGTGACCTTGAGTTTATGAATTAATCATACAAGGACAAATAAATATTGATTGTCAGTTGACACAAGTCAGTTTGCTCATGAACAAACATGGCTGGACTTAATCTGTTCAGTGTTTGTGTACCAAACATTATTTGATCATAAATGGCCTGTTAACATAATTGTTATTTTCAACAATCTATTTTCTAAGTTGGCTTTATGGTCCAGAGACCAAACTCATCTGCTTGGGACATCATGAACAGGAGGGGTTGAGCTCTATCATTCAGCATTCATGGACCACCTCCAGCTTCTCAGACCAGAAATGAGTCGACTAGTTCCTCTTCTCCAAGTTGAACAGGAACAGTCAGCTCACCAACAAAGCTGTGGTTGCTGGGGTTAGTCTCCACCACAGAAAGAGTTCTCAAGTAGCTCATATATGTAAATTGTATATGAGAGCAAATTACTGTACTCCATTCTGTGTTTCACTACCACAAGTTTAGGGAGGAAGTCTTGTTGTGAGTTCCAGCATTACCTCCGGGCAGCTTGCATTCTTACCCTTATTGATACTTCACAGCTGTACAGTCACCTTTCTCCCATGTATTGTTCTTTCCATTATTTGTTGTTGGTTAGTGTTAAGTTTTCACTACTGATGTGTTTAAAAATTTCTCTTTTCAGCATAGTTCCCTTTGTAGTACAGTACTGTATAATATCTCAAATTTCTGGGGTATTATAGTGATATGATTTGGAATTCTCATTACCTATGTTTATACTATTTTATTGTGCCCTGAAATGCACTCTTCGAGTATTGATAAGTTTCTCACAACAAGCTGAGATGATCTTTATATAGGTGATTGGTCTCATGTACACCCACAAAAAAATTATTCAGCACACGTGTCATATTGTATCACGGCGTAAGGGTGCCGAATAATTTTTTAGTGGGTGTACGCTGGACTTCTGCCTAGCATGTAGAGCCATGCAGACAATTAATGAAGCTGAATCCTGAAGGTAGTGCCACGAAGTGTTTTCCTCCCTTGCAGGACAGAGGCCCTTGTTTTTGAGTCGGAAACAAATGGCAAAGTTCACGGTATATAACAGCCCTGGAAAGGTCTGATAGCCATCCTTTCCAGTGATCCTGTTAATTAACAAGGATTCCTGTTTTCCTTAAGTTGTTTCTTAATATTTTAAGGGGTGGTGTCTCACCACCCTATTTTTAGTTCCATGGGGCAGGAAAACACCCCCACCCCCTCCAAACTGACGATATGACCAAGACCAGAGGTGCCAGGTACATGACTTTAGCCTCCCCCAGCCACTGACCATGAGACCCCAAACTGTTGAATACCACGTGAAACCAGAGAACACTTCAATCATATTACAGTATATTGTACAAAATACAAGGTAACTGTGGACAAGATTAATGCATTTGTTATCTCCAAATGCATTAAGGATGCCATTGATGATGTGGAAAATATAGGATGTTTACAAATTGAAGAACTCTTAAGTTGAACTGTATTACATTAGCCAAGTCAAACCCACTCAGATAATTTTATACTATAAGTAGGTGAGAAAAGAGGTGGAAGGAGCCCAAACCCCTACACCTGGTGTTTTGTATGCCCAAGTAGCCAAGACCAAGGTACAAAAGTGCAATGTCTCGACTTCGGCAGACCCAACTTCCCTACAGACACTGATTACCAATGACAAGATTATTATCCATGACACAATCAATATCTACCACTTTGACTAATAAAAGCATTATGAAAGAAGGCAAATATTTCAACGAACTCTCCTGGTCTTCCCACCTCCCTTTCACAAATTTATCAGAGATTGGGATCGCAGGCGATGGGTAATGGCAGAGCAGTGCATAAGTTCCTGGAAGTCCACATCTGGAGACATACCGGTAGGTCACTCTCCAGTCTGGCCCATCAACTGGCCCCCAAAGCAAAACTCAGGAGATTGAATATCTCAAAAGAGAATGGAACATATATCAATAAAGAACAGGACTCGTCCTGGCATAATGGTTCCATCCCGAGATCATCAGACCCCATGTAGGTCAATCACATTAGGGGATGGCCACAGAGCTGCTCCCTTAGAACACATTAAAAGAAAAAAGTAAGAACTCAGGGGGCATATGCTGCCTGTAGTCACTTTTAAACTGTAAATTCACTGTTTTACAGTGGAATTGTAGAAGTGCTTGTAACAAAAATGCAGATTGTGCTTTTGAAATCAATACATGTACCAGATGTCTTCTCTTTATAAGAGATGCTCCTGGAGGGGAAGGATAACCCCCAATGTTCATCCAGGAAAAATAATGGAAGAGGCATTTTTATCTACATGAACAAATGTATTCTGCTAACAACCCCTTGCAGGCAGTAGCATGCAGGGTGAAGTTTGATACAACTTACAAAGCTATTTGTTCTATCTATTCTATATCCCACCCATGAGGTCCCTGGATGTGGGAGCACTTGAATCTCTTGTGAGGCTGTTACCCAGCAAAATTCTCATTATGGAGATTTCAGTGCTCAACATCACACTTGGGAGAGTGAAAGGAGTGATATGAGAGGGGAGCAAATGGTACCCTGTCGGTTATAGATTTAACTATAAATGATGGGAACTTGTTCTCTGACACCAAAGTGATGATCACTTGGGAAGTGAAGTGACCATTTGCTGATCTGCATTTCTTACAAAATCTGTGCACTGGGTGCTGCTCTGGAAATTTGATTTAATTTCAAGAAAGCATATTGAAGGTTATTCACAAGGGAAGGCATAATTGACTGCCCAGACTCACATAAATCACACATATAGAAGACACAATCATTAACATGGCAACAGAGGAAATTCTGAAGATTTCTTCAAATTCTGGCAGGCTTGGAGTTCCATGATGGACACCATATTGCTAACAAGTGATTCAAGAATGAAATAGGAGGTACAGAATATTCAAGTTAGCCTCTACTCAGAGCAATCTCATAGATCATAAAAAAGCTAGGGCTCAAGCACAAAGAGTTGTCAAGGAAGGCAAACACAGGTCCTGTCAAGAATATGTCTCCACTGTCAACTGAGACACCCCTTCCTCTGAAGTGTGGTCCATTGTCAACTGGATCATGGGACAGTGAAGGAGTACTTTCAACCTCAACTTGAGAGTGAGGGTCAGATTCTTGACAACTTCCAAGACATTGCCACCAGATTTAGCAGCTCCATGAACTATGAACCTCCATAGGCTCCAAAGAAGGAGAGGGCTGAGAGGATGTCCCTGTTTTTCGATGGCAGGGAGTAGCAGGTCTATAACTGAGTTTTCCAAAGTTGATTGCAATTGAGCTTTGAAGTTCTATAAGGGTACCAGTCCTGGACCGGATAGAATTACATATGACACGTTGCAACACCTAAGTAGACCAAACCTGCTCAGGGTACTGCAAATCCATGAGTATGATGATATATAGACGTCCGAGGCCTTCCTAGTCTCGTGGGGATTTGCATATATCATACCTATTCCAAACATGAATGGCAACCCTACAAATCCAAGTTTGTTCTGACTTATAGCACTCACGAATTGTGCATGTAAAGTCATAGAAAAAATTATTAAATGTAGGCTAATGTTTTTCTTAGGAAAACCCCAAGTTATTAAATGATCAGAATTGTGGCTAACTTTTATTATCCTTAAATCATATTAATATTGTCTCAATATCACAAGTTATAGCGTGTCCTGCGAGACACGCATGGTCTTGTGACAAGACATGTCGCCCCCTGGGGTGTAATAAATTAGTTAAATAATAAATAAGAAGCCCAACATGACTATAATCAGACACTCACAAGCAGCACATGCAGGTAGTGAGGTGTTAAGCTTCAGAGAAAGTAACATAATGTTGGGAAGACCTCAGTAGCTCCATTCCATCCTATGGGGATGCCAAGTAGCTATCAAGCTCCTTCAGTTGAGGAGTTTGTGGATGAATGTTGCCTCCATAGTGACTGGGTGTGACTAAAACTCAATGTGAAATGTCCCTCTAATTGGGGTGTGGCTATGGTGACATCACTTTTTTATTCTAATTGATGAGTACTCGCCCCTGAAGATGTGAATTACATGAAAGCGCTTGGGAACTTGGTGTTTTCTTCTTTCCTTGTGGTTATCAGCATATATATATATATATATATATATATATATATATATATATATATATATATATATATATATATATATATATATATATATATATATATATATATATATATATAAGGATGCAGCTTAAGTCTTAAACAATCGAGTTAAGTTCGGGTATTGTTAAAATATTCATAAAGCATCACCATCATCAGTCGTTATCTGTACCTGTGAGACCCCACCCCATGAATATTTCTGTGTCTGACGCCCACACGCAGCATCTGCCCTGCCCCCTCCCTCCCGTTTCCTGTCACATGGAGCATCTCCCGCTCTCCCCTGCTGATTCCTCCCACATGCAGCATCTTTCTCCTTCCTGCTGTTTCCTCCCACATGCAGCATCTTTCTTGCTGTTTCTTTCCACATGCAGCATCTCTCCTCCTCCTGCTGTTTCCTCCCACATGCTGTTTCCTCCCACATGCAGCATCTGTCTCCTTCCTGCTGTTTCCTCCCACATGCAGCATCTCCTCCTCCTGCCTTCCCATGCAGCATCTGTTCCTGCTGTTTCCTCCCACATGCAGCATCTGTCTCCCCTGCTGCTGTTTTTCCACATGCAGCATCTCTCCTCCTCCTGCTGTTTCCTCCCATGCAGCATCTGTCTCCTTCCTGCTGTTTCCTCCCACATGCAGCATCTCTCTCCTCCTGCTGCTGTTTCCTCCCACATGCAGCATCTGTTTCCTTCCTGCTGTTTCTCCATGCAGCATCTGTCTCGTTCCTGTTTCCTCCCACATGCAGCATCTTTCTCCCCCTGCTGTTTCTTTCCACATGCAGCATCTCTCCTCCCCCTGCTGTTTCCTCCCACATGCAGCATCTGTCTCCTTCCTGCTGTTTCTTCCCACATGCAGCATCTCTCTCTCTCTTGCTGTTTCTTCCCACTCGGGCATCTCTCCTCCTGGGTTGTTTCTCCCACATGCAGCATCTGTCTTGCTCCCGCTGTTTCTCCCACATGCAGCATCTTTTCTCCCTGTTGTTTCTTTCCACATGCAGCATCTCTCCTCCCCCCTGCTGTTTCCTCCCCACATGCAGCATCTGACCCCTTCCTGCTGCTCTTCCCACATGCAGCATCTCTCCTCCTGTTGTTTCTCCCACTGCAGACTCTCCCTCCTGCTGTTTCTCTCTCTCCCCACCTCGCAGCATTCCTCCTCCTGCTGTTCCTCCCCACATGCAGCATCTCTCCCCTTCCCTGCTGTTTCCTCCTCCTACATGCAGCATCTCTCCTCCTGCTGTTTCCTCTCACTCGCAGTATCTCTCTCCTGCTGTTTCTGTCCCACTGCAGCATCTCTCCCTCCTGCTGTTCCTCCTAAGCATGCACTCTCCCTCCTGCTGTTTCTCTCTCCACAGCAGCATCTCCTCCTGCTGTTTCTCCCTCCTACAGCATCTCCCTCCCTGCTGTTTCTCCTTTACATGCAGCATCTCCTCCTGCTGTTTCTCCTCTCCCACTCGCAGCATCTCTCCCCCTCCTGCTGTTTCCTCCTACATGCAGCCATCTCCCTCCCCTGCTGTTTCCTCCCACTCGCAGCATCACTCCCCTCCTGCTGTTTCCTCCCACTGCATCTCCCTCCTGCTGCTTCTCTCCCACTCGCAGCATCTCTCCTCCTGCTGTTTCCTCCCACATGCAGCATCTCCCTTCCTGTTTCTCCCACTCGCAGCATCTCTCCCCCTCCTGCTGTTCCTCTCCTACATGCAGCATCTCTCCCCCTCCTGCTGTTCCTCCACCATGCAGCATCTTCCCTCTTGCTGCGTCTTGTATCCACAAACGCGTTCTCTAGTTATTTTGGGGATACACCACAGACAGACAGGAACGTAAACTATACCCTTCCTGGCAGCAACGAACAGGGTGATGATTATGACTTGAGGTCTGTGAGAGAGAGAGAGAGAGAGAGAGAGAGAGAGAGAGAGAGAGAGAGGGAGAGGCTGGTTCACTCCCCCACACTCGCCCTTATCTTCATTGAGTTAACTCCTCCGTCCTCTCCGCAATTGAGTTTTGGGTGAAGAATGTCTCTTGTTTACCAAAGTCTCCTTACTTTTTACTCACTTATTAATAGACACCACGCGAGGGGCGGAGAGGGTTGTGGGGGATTGAGGGAGAGAGGTGGATGTGGGGGATGAAAAGAGGGTTATGGGGAAGGAAGAGGACTGGGAGGATAGAAGGAAGCTAATGAGAGAATACAGAGAGAGGGCGATGGAAGATGGAGACAAGGTGAGGGATTATGGAGGGAGGATTCGGGGAGTGGAAGGACAGGGAGTGAGAAGGTAGTTTAGTTGATGTGGGAAGGAAAATCTTGAACAAGTAATGAAAAGAGAATCGTCGTGAATAAAGATGGGAGAGCAAAAGGAAACAATGAGAGTAATAGAAGATTACTAAAAAAAAAAAAAAGAGAAACGCAACGACTGTGGGAGGAAAATATTCAAATAATTAGTGGTGTGTAAAGGAAGAAGAAAAGTCAGAAGGGACCAGTGAAGGAGAACGATCACTGCCTGGCCCTGAGCCGTATCGTTGTTGTCTGTTGTCAAGTTAGAGGGGCAGGGATCAAGAGTGTTGTGATTCTCAGTAGTGTAGATGAAAGGCAGATAAGCTGGTGACAGTGACGGCGCGCGGTGATGGAAGGGAAAGAACAGACTAGAAGCCAGTCTCAAAAATTCTCTCGAATTATTTTCCTTCATTATAAAGAGATAAGATGGTGGCACATGTCACTGTCTCGCTGACCTATACTTAACCCAGCCGATATTCACCCTTAACCAGTTCCACTCTTTCGTCTTCTAGTTATGGGTTAAAATGAATTAACGAAGGAAGCTTTGAGAATGCAGAACCAGGGAGGCAAGAGGGGGTTTGGAATGAAAAGGTAAGGGTATTTTGTCAGAGAGAAGGGTGGGAGCGAGGCAGGTGCGACGGAGACACGAGGGACCAGAGCAGGTTGAGTGTATTTGTGTGAGATGTAGTAGTAAGGGTCTCAGTTTTCTTTTAGTATTGAACGGATATATTGCATATGTGTGCGTGTGTGTGTGTGTGTGTGTGTGTGTGTGCTAAGAAGATGCATGAGAACTACGATCCTCTCAGAATTAAAAAAAGGTACATAAATCTGAACAGAGACATAGACAAACACGGTCCTCGTCTAAGAAACGTCGCAATAAGGTGGTCGCTTAAACACACATCAACGTGTCGACAAATTAGGGATGAGTCAGCAACACTGTTTGCTTCATTCCTTCACATCGAAAGAAGAGGCACTCAAAATATTCTCCCCATCTCCGTCTTACCTCTTGGTTATTTCCACATTCGACTTCATCTTTTATTTGCACTTCTGAGAAAAAAAAATCCGGCAGGCATCTTTTCCTGGTGGACGAATGCCAGTTTATCGGAACAACGTTATTCCGGCAGTGAAGTATTCATTACATACGGTGAGCACTGATACATGTTTTGTTTATACATACTACGCATAATGATGACCCCCTGGCCAAGGTTTTCTCACTCTTACAAATTTACAATGTTAATAACAAAGGCATGGAAGCATAGGTAATTATGACAATAAGAAATTAATAATTAAAATTAAGACAGAAGAGGAATAGTATTAATAAAAGCAAAAAAATTACCAGCCCCAAATAGAAAAGGTGAAATTTTTATAACTACGATGACAGCTCCCACCATCACTAGCCAAGTGGACCAGAGCTTCGACCATCACTAGCCAAGTGGACCAGAGCTTCCATCATCACTAGCCAAGTGGACCAGAGCTTCCACCATCACTAGCAAGTGGACAGGCTTCCGCCATCACTAGCCAAGTGGACCAGAGCTTCCACCATCACTAGCCAAGTGGACCAGAGCATTCTCCATCACTAAGTAGACCGGAAGGATAACAACCGTCTCTCCCTAAATTGGGACCGGGACACCACGCCACAGCACCAGCCAAAAGCGGACCACAACTCTCCAGTGGGCGTGGACCAGGGCCTCCCCGGACACACGGGTCATTTGTAGCCTCCTATTGAAACTGGACTTGATCATCCATTTTCCAGGATGGTCTCAGCGCGACCAGGCGAAGTTGATTGTCGTTGTTCTTGCGAGATTAGGTAGCCAGGAGCTATGCTGGGGTGAATTACTGCTGCTGATGGATGATTGGAGACGATTGAGAGGTATCAAAAAAAAGGAAAAAAGGCTGACGTAGCCATTAACTGGAAGTGACTGAAAAGAAGTCAGGGGTTGAGGGACGAGCAGTTAATTAAGGGAGACAGATACTACCGGTAATAAAGTACAGGTAGGAGATAAGTGACTAGGAAATATAAGTAATAATTTATGCAAATTAGAAAATAAAAACCTTCTAGACGACAAATTAATGGGTGGTAATAATAAAGTGAGGAGGTATTAATGGTGCAAATGAAATGAGAGAGAGTGGACGAGGAAGATAAAAAATATATTTCAACACAGAGAAGAGGCACAGGAACAAACTAAACTGAATATGGTTAATAACTATGCCTCTTACACAGACATAAAATTTAAAA